AATCTCTTTTTTTTTTTTTTTTTTTTTTAAATATAAGGAAAAGAAGGATCATGCAATGACATTTATTTTCTATCTGGAAAAGAATAAAAGGCACAGCTACATTTTTCTTGAGCCCTTTTTTCTCTGAAGTTGCAAAATATTGCAGTGCTTCTAGTAGAACTGAGACAAGGTGGGTAAAAAGACACGAAGATTATATTTTCTCTAAGAAAAGGAAGAATAACAGATGGAAGAGTGTTTCTTTTTGTTTTGTTTCAGAAAATGATGAGACTAGTTCATCTCTAAAAGATACAGAAATCCGAATCTGAAGATCCCCTAACAACAAAAATGCAAATATGTTTCTGGCCACTAGATGGTACTTAAAGCACAGGGTTGACATGAACTGCTCTACTGTGAGATGTATAGCCAGGGTACCTGTGTCAGAGGCTTAGCGAAGTCGAGGTTGGTTTTATCTTCTCCATATCCAGGAGGAAAAAAAAAAAAAAAAAAAGAGGAAAAAAAAAAAAAAAGACAAACAACGGCCTGCTGTTTGAAACACCACTCTGCTTATTCCGTTTCGTTTTTCCATCTCCTGTCTGCCCCCATCCCTGTCCACCCTGCCTGGCCCGGGGCTGCCACCCCTTCGCCGGGTGGCTGTGTCCCCACCGGGGTGGAGGGCGCTTGGCTGGGCTGGTGGGTGCCCACCAGGCTGCCCCAGCCCCGCTCCTTCCCTCCGGCACCCTCGGCCCATCGCACCCACCATCCCTCCCGTTCCATGGGGCGCTGGCGCTGCTGGGCCGGGGACACCGGGTCCTGCTCTGTGGGACCCCAAAACCCCCCCCTTCTCCCTCTGCTCGGCCTCGCCAGCACCTCCACTGCGGCTCCTCTTGCTGGGGACGGGCTTTGCTCCCTGCGCTTGTGCCAACCTCATGGCTCTGGGTGCAAACCCCGTAGCTCTGGGAGCAAACCCCATGGCTCTGGGTGCAAAACCTGTGGCTCTGGGTGCTGAACCCCATTGCTCAGGGTGCTGAACCCCAGAGTTTTTTTTTTCCTGGAGCAAGAGGGTGCCAGCAGCCCAGAAATGGCTTCCAACCTGCAGCAGGGTCCTTGCTGGAGGAGGAGGAGGCACTTGCTTCCTCCTTCTGCACGGCCCTGGCTCTCCCCTCGCTGCCCTGGGTGCTGGGTTCACTCAGCTCCCTCGGCTGACGGAGCTGGGGGGCTGCCCAGGGCTGGGATCACCCCCCCCACCCGTGTCCCAGCAGGGTGACCTGCATGAGTCCCCAATCTCCGCACCCCACAGCCTCGCACCCCGGTAGAGGTGGCAAATAACCAACCCAGGGTGATTCAACCCCAAATCCCATCCTAAAACCAGAGTCACCAGCTGCCTCCCCCACCTGCGAAGCGTACTGCAAAGGGAGGGCACAGTGCTGGCCCCATCTGTCCATGACGTGTCCCCCCGACCCCGCAGAGCCAGCGCCCTGTGTCCCCACCGGATGTCGTGTCCCCTCCATCCCACCCAGCTCTCATCCTCAAGGTTTGCTGGCCACAAAATGTCTGTCGTTTCAGCAGCTTGCCTCGGACACGGGAGCGAAAAACACAAAAAAGGAGGAGAAAAAAAAGAAAAAAGAAAAAAGAAAAAAAAGAGAGAAAGAATAATAAAAATAATTAATTTAATGAAAAAAAATAATCCTGGTGTCCCTGGCAGCGTTGCCTGAAAACTGGCTATTTTTAGTGACATCTTGTACATATGACTGTAAAATGGTAAACCGTGTGTATTATATATTGCCTCATTATATAGTGTATATATATGTATACATATACATATATATAATATATATGAAGACTGTAAATGTTAAGACTAGTGTTCTTATTAGTATATTGCTTCACACTGAAGATTGTGTGTAACAAGCTGTTTCTAAAAGATGTTTATTTTCCTTAAGAGTAAAAAACAGGTCATTGCATTCAGAGCGTCAATAAAGATACAACGATTGTTTTGGAAGTACGTGGCGCCCTGCTCATGGCCTCTCTTTCTCCCGGGGAGTTGGGGG